CAAGAGAGTCATAAAATCCGAGTCCTATTGGAAAAAAAAAAAAAAACGTTAGTATTTATTATAAAAAAAATTAGAATGTTGATTGAAGTAGTTAGACTTACATCTTCTTCATAAACCCATTGGTTATACTTTGAGACCAAGTTGTCATCAACTACCACCCTAAGCACGTTGAATGAAGAAGCAAAGTTGTAACGATCATTAGGCTTAATGCGAATTTTGAAAAGATATTTCTTGCCAACCAAATCTTCAATATCGTCAGGAAGATCAAAGACAGCCTGCTTCTATAAAAATAAAAGAGAATTTTATATGTCAACTTACATAAAGTTAAAAAACAACATGCTAATGTTAAATAAAAAAAAATTATTGGTTAAACTCGAGATAATTACCTCCCTCTCGGCATATTCGCGCTTCAGTATATCACAAGGTTTGCCAATCATCCTTTGACAATCTTTATCCCAACAAACCACAGTCGTATGCGCAGAAGCATCGTACACATCCATTTGAATTTTATATCTAATTTTTTCAAATTATCATGTCATAAAGTAATCATAAAATTAAAATTTTAAATTTAGTAAAATATAAAAAACAAACCGAAAAATGCCACGATTGTGAGTGCACTTTCGGCACTTATGATTGAGTCCATCAGTCTCCATCGAACTACTACATCGAATACATGCCAAGTACCACCATTCATCTATGATGGAACCAATCGTTGCACAAACCCAAATGTCCTTAGACTACAATGGACAAATCAAATATACGATTAAGTATTAAAAAATCGAAAATCACTATATATATTTTTTTGTAATAAATTTACGTTTTATTACCTCCACACAATCATGTAAAGAATCAACCGTACTAACGATGATGTCCCCGTCCTCGAGTTGTTGAAGTTCAGTCTTGACAACAGTGGAACTATTCGACACCAATTGGGTATTCCTCAATTTACCCGCAGCCAACCTTGTAATAAAATAATATATAAATTACGTAAAAAGAAATAATATATAAATTACGTTAATAAATTACTATATAAATTCACGAATGAAAAAAAGGTACCTCCTCCTAAATTCACGAATTTCGGGGACATCCACACAAATGAGAAGAGTAACATCTTTTGATGTGCTTATTCGCACTTCACCTACAATTATATAAATTAATTAAGAGATTATAAATTAAAATTAAAATAAGAAAATGATTATGGCAAAGTTAAAAAATATTACCATCAAACACCTTAGCACGACACATTTGCATGATTATGACAAAAGCTTGTTGTTCATTCATGTAATGATGCTCAATAGCAATTAGTTGATCAACATATTGTCCCCAAAGGGTACAATTCGTCTTTTTCCCTCTAAATAAATCGAGTAAATTAATTCAAATTCAAGAATAAATATTTGGTAAGAGATCAAACAATCATTTTATACAATTTAATATAATACGAATTACTATAAAATTTTATATGTACTTACTCCAAGTTCATAAGGGAGAAAACAATCATTTGAGTTGGCTTCCCTTTCACAGTCTTCATTTGGATTGGTTGTATTTCAACCACCACCCCAATAACATCTATAAATAAACAATATAATAATGTTAATAAACACATGTAGGATAATCGAATTTTTTAAAATTTTAAAATATTAAATTAAATACACGAATACACGAAATTAAAAACATAGCAAACAAAAAAAAAAAATTAAAATTAAACGGAATAAATATAAATAATAATCCCTTACCAAACAATGAGGCCATTTGATAAATTTAGTATCCTTGTTGATCACAAGTCTCCAAGTGCATATTGTGGTTTGGTAAATGCCGGTGTTGCTCTCAACTTGGTAATTTTTGAGAACATACACGACCCCTTCTTCCACTTCATTGATGAATTTAGAAATATGCATGGGTCGGACCAAAGCATTGATACGTCCTCCCTAACATCATTGAAACAAACAATTATTTCAAATTTGAGAGTAAAATTACAATTTGAAAATAACAAAGTTAATAAATAAATCTTCCAATACGTACCTCAGAATCATGCATAATAAACTCAAACGGATTTTTGTAACCACGATCCTCCTCTCGTTGGAACATCCGAATAACACGTAGCTTAATGAATGGTCGATTAGTTCTTTTGAGATCTTTAATAGTACCGAAAACGGGAGCCATGTTGAATTGTAAGGGAAAGGTAAAAGAGAGAGATGATTCGTGAGTTTTGAAGAGAGCGTGTTCTCAATATCTGTTACATACGGGATTATATAAAGTGAAGATATGTGTGCAAAAAATATACAATTTATTTTAATAGATATTTTATGATTTTGTGTGATACTTACCGCCTAAAATATTTGGATAAATGTTAAACAGAATCATTTAGTTTTAGAATTGTTATATCGATTGGTATGTTTAAGGGAGCCACAAATTTTGTAAATCGTATATTTGATACTTTCCTGTATTTTTTTAAATCGTATAGTTTAATTCATGTATTCAAATTTTATCCAATTGTTTACCATATAAATTTACACGTGATTGTATAGTTACCCACAAAAATCCCGATTTCAACAATCCTGCATAGCCCCACAAAATCAGGATATAATCACGTGTAGATTTGTTTAACATTTAACAAATAACAATATCCTATTATCAATTAACAATATGTAATTCGGGAACATAAGAAATTTAAATTGTATAGGATTCTTATCAATTGGCACATTAAATAAATCTGATAATATTAATGGGAGGATTGTGTTTCCATATATTATTCGATCAAGTTATTTAATTTTGAAAATTAAACACTTTGATTCCTTATAGAATTTTTATATGATATGGTGATTATATATATATATATATATATATATATATATATANCAATCCATATATATATATATATATATATATATATATATTCATTTAGAACAAATTATTTGTTTTTTCTTATAGGAACGTGGTAAACAATATTTTTAAATCCACTAAATTAGGTAATTGACAATTAACAAATAACAGTATCATATTATCAAATCCACTAAAGTAGGAAATTAACTCTTTCTTGCAGGTATGGAGAATGAGGACTCTATTTGGAATGTAGGCGATCAAAGATTATTCCGATATTTATGAATGTGATTTTTATGGATGTGATTTTTATTATTCTACAACTTGTAAACAAATAACAGAAATCATAATGAGTGTTGTGGTCGGATTTTATGGGCGAATGGCATGGGATATTGATAAATCTTATCACGTTAACAAATTAACAAACATATCGGAATCTATCAAACAATTGAATTGAAATTTGCATGGGATCCAATCGAGAATTGCATGGTTGGTGAAATTACAATTTCAAACAATTTACAAAATTTGTTTCGGCGGCAAAAACTTGATATCTGAGCGGGAAAACGAAAACATTTTTTTTCGGATTGTTCAAATGTTTTTTCTTCTCCGTTTTATATAGTAATAGATTACACCCTTTTTGTGGACACTTTGAGGTATTAAAAAAATCTGTCGTTTTTTTTTTTTTTAAAACACTCATTCTCTTTCCTTGAAATCCAAAATCACTCATTCGTCATTCCCTGAGATCCAAAATCACTCCTCAATCCCAACAATCAATTTTTATCCAAGATCTCTTCTTCCCTTCCCCTGAGATACCACGACTGCTCCATCCCCAATTCTGGATCTCCTCAAAACTCTATCTCCGACGATTTCCATAGTAAGAGGCGGTTGAAGATGGCGGCGAAGCGGTTAGGCGACGCATCCCAAGTGAAAGCATATTATTTGGATTTCGTAAGCCGTTCACAGGCCCAACACTCCATCCCTCCCATCTGCAAGGAAATTGGAATACCTTCTCTCAATTCTCTTCTCATGGCGATGCGTTTATTTTACGAGAATTTGGGTTTGTATATAGTTTATTCGTGATTCGATCTTTTCGATTTTGTCACTCCGGACAATGAATTTTCGGATTGTGTACACCGTACTTGAATAATCATGATGTTCTGAATCAACATATTTGTTACTGTGTATTATATTAGTTGACAATAAGTTGTTTCCATGTTGTTTGATACGCATTGTGAAGTTTTTTTGTTGTTGCTGCACAAAAACTTTGATTTGTTCTTGTCATTTTTCTCTCATACACGGTTCTGTCGCGCCGCCAATGCCGGTTGTCGATTCCAAAGTCAAATTGTTATCGTGATCCGTCAATTTGATTGCGAGAGGTTTTCTGTGTGATATGTGCATATAAGATGTTGTTTTTTATTTTTTATTTCTTATTTTTTTGTGCTTAATGAACAAGAAAAAGTCCATTGCTCATATCTCTTATAAAAATTGATTCTTATTCATGAATTATTATCTACAATTAAAATTACTGATTGTGGAGAATGTGAGCATTTTCATCAAATAATTTCAAAATTTACTTCATTGTTAATCTTACTATTTTTTTTATTTCAGTGATACTTGCCACATTTTTTTCTTCTAATCCTTTATTATGGAGATTTTTTCTGATGGTTTTTTTTCTTCAAACGTTTTCTCAATTAAGTTGGTAGTTATTTTGTTGATTTTTCAAATCTCTCCACGTAACTTCTCTTCTTGTTTTTTTTCTAAACTCAAAGTTTAATTTTTCTTTTTTTGTTATTTATTGCCTTTTCATTTTCACACTGACGGTTATATCTTTATTGATTTCTTTGGAAGTATTTTTGGAATTCTCCACCCTCTATTATTTAATGGAATTACTGTTAAATGAACGGATAGTTATGAATATTTTCCGTTAAATTAGTTTGCTAGCATGATTATTTGGTATGGGCTTCTATACATATTGGCTCGTCAAAGTATGCACAAGGCCCATCAGCTAAAAATTATTTATTTGAGTTGGAAGACAAAATTAAACTAAATTAAATTTGGGACATATGAGATAGTGTCACTTTGGACAGATGCAATCTTTCTTATGTAACTAAATTTGTGCACTCAAGATTAGCATTCGGTTAATCCAAAATTGATGTAGACATATATTGTTCATATTTGGCCATGGGATGTACTTTGCACCAAGAAATTGCATTTGAACAAGCATATATAAAAAAAAAATGAATTAAATGAACCAAATTGCTTGGCGTCCAGTTCAAAGATATGTTAGAATTGAATCCCTGGAGGGATGAATCCAATTACCTCATAAAATCCTTCAAAATAATTGATCTAGATTGAATGACTTTGTAATTTAGGCATTTAAAACTTGACTACAAATTCAAATGATCATATATACGTTTCTTGGCATTGGATCCTAGTTATGATTGATAAAGAATACGTCTCACAGCTTACTTAGGGCTTCAGCAGCAGCACGCAAGCAAGCAGTAGTGAGTTGGTCAATCACAAATATTAATTCTTAATTAAGTAAGTGGCCTGACAAAGTGTGTAGTAGTGTGGTAATTACATTACGGTGATGTTAATTACATATCGAGTGTGGGGAAGGGATCAGAAGGAGTGGGGTTTTCTTTTGCATGGTGAGGCCTGGCAATGCATCAGTGTCGATGGTGTAGTGATTATGAGGCAAGGCCCAATCGAAGGAGTATAGCAGATTGGCGAGTGCGAGCTGGACGGATATTAGACCCATATCCATCCCAGGACACCCTCTCCTCCCTCCGCCAAATGGTATCATCTCAAAGCCCAAGTCTCGGCCCATATGATCATTACCCATGAATCTTTCGGGCCGGAACTCCTCCGGGTCCTCCCACCTCTCTGGGTCCCTACCCATGGCCCACCCGTTGATATAAACCGACGTCCCAGGCTCGATTTCATACCCATCGATAACCACCGTGCATTCATTTGGCAATATTTGGGTTCGGAATATAAGCGGGGCCGGTGGGTACAGCCTCAGAGCCTCCAACACCACCGCCTTTAGGTACGGTAGCTTCATCATGTCATCCTCGTGGACAAATCCAGCTTTATTATTAAGATTGGGGGTAATTTGCCGCCTGATGTGTGCTTTTACTTTGTTCATTATTTTGGGCCGTTGCATGAGACCTGTCATTGTCCAAACTATTATTGCTGCCACCGTATCAGTTCCCGCAACAAATAGATTCTGAAACACAGAAGAAAATTAATTAATAATAATATTAGCTAGCTAGCTAGCTTGTAAAATAATTAATTAATTACCATGAGCAATGCTTTGATATTGTCCCAAGACAACTGATCCCCTAATTGGTTTTGTTTGAGCTGAATGAGGAGATCAATAATGTCGGGATCTGACGTTTCGGTCCTGTTGGGGTCGAGATGCTCGTTGATGAGCTGCTCGTAAAACGCATCCAACTCTCTGCAGTTGTTGTCCAGTCTCCCCATCAATCCAGACGCCTTGTCGGCCCAAACACCAAAAGGTGCAGGAAAATGATCCTTGAAGTAGAAGCTGACCATCAGGGACTGGGCCTCTATGATGAGTCTGTCGAACCTTATCTTCTCATACTCATCATCATCGTACCTCCTCCCGAAGGCTACTCTGCATATCAGGTTGCTGGCCAGTGACATGGCCATGCCGCTCAAGTTGACAGCCTGCAGGCTCTTGTTGTTACTGATTTTGGTTATCATGCGTCTGACCTCATCCTCACGTACGGCCCGAAAGGACAATACCCGTTTGGCAGAAAAGAGATGGAGGACGCACGTTTTTCTCATCCGCCGCCAGTGGTGGTTGTAAGGGGAGAAGGCCATGTCGAGGCCGCCGTAGGAGAGCCTCTGCTGGCCCACCACCGCAGGCCGGCTGCAGAAGGAGCGGTCGTGGGTTTTCAGGATCTGCTCGGCCATGCGTGACGACGACACCACCAGGATACGAGCCCGGCCCAGCCTCAACGAGACCAGGGGCCCGTACTTGTGGGCCAGCCTCTGCAGGTATTCCTGAGGCCTGGCTTTGTCCATCTGGAGCAAGTTGCCCAACAGGGGAAGCCCCCGTGGGCCCGGTACTTCCCGCTTCTTCTTCCTCATCAATCTCTGTTTCAGCATCACCATAGCAACAATTAGCGCTACGCCTGCCCAAATCATAATTGCCAACATATATATTTGGATATATAGCGAATACTTGTGTCAAAATGTGGTATTGTGAGGATGAAATGAATCAATGATGTGTGTGCAACTGCAAAGCAGAATATGACTATTTAGAAATTGGCACATCCGTCATCCGTGTCAGAATTTCCTTCATCTACACATAATCAACTTCATGATTTAATTGCCTTCATCTACACTGGTGGGGTGTATATATGTCAGAACTGCTGGCCGCCACATTAATGTGTACCTAGTAGTTAGATGTGACAATTGCTTAATTGCTTTAGCTTATAGGTACGTGGCCACAATGTTGTACACCCACTAAACTCAGGACCACTTTTACGTGCTCTATCCTGGTTATTATCTTGTCCCCCATAAGCCATATTAATTATTTTAATTAATTAAAAGTTCCATCTATAAATTTATGATGGTGATTATTTTAATTTTTTAATGAAATAATTGTTTTGGACTGCGATATTAATAAATTGCTCCACCACTCATTGATAAGATAACTAGTACATACCCCGTACGATGCACGGGACATATATATTAAATAAATTATTTTCACAGCTTTGTCCGTTTAAGTCTAAAAAATAAAAGGGTTCTTAGCTATTTTCTACATTTTTTAATCAACGTTAAGTCTAAAAAACAATAGGATTATTATAAGTTTTTTTTCCACATTGTTATTTTTGTCAGAACATTAAATATGAGCATGTTAGGCTAGCTTGTAAAATAATTATATTATCTCACTAAAATATTTATACTGATAAAAATTTAATTTTAGCATATAAATTTATCCCTTGATATAAGAGAAAGTAACAATTTTACTTATTGTTGTTCACCATATAATATTTAATTATTATTTTATTATATAACAAAAAGGAATACTGTTAAATAGTGTAGTAGAATTGTTATAAAATTATATGAAATATTATTTTATAAAATATAGATTTAATATCTTTTTATGATTTGATAATATAAACAAATTTATACTTACCTTTGACTTTTCCAGCAAAGGTAAAAAATGGGTTCTGATTTTTATCCCATAACAAATCTTTAATGTCAAGTCTATAAATAAGAAAACAAATCTATAATTAATATCATTCTATTTCCAGCAAGCATTAATTACTTTTGACTTTTTTGTCTAATATTTCTAGTAAATAGAATGACTTTTTATATAAGTACTAGTACAGAGCCCGTGCGATGCACGGGGTCCACAATTTTAAGGTTATTTATCTAGGCTTACAATTATATACAGGAATAAAGAAAAATATACTGGATATATATAGTACGTGACCCGTGCGAAATACGGGATAAATTTATTTGGAGAAATATTATATTATAAGATGCAATATTCAATAAAAGTTTATAATACGCAAGAAAATCGTATAATGTCCAATAAAAGTTTTATAATATTCAAGTGGAGTCTTAAAGTCTCTTGTACATTAAGACTATTGACAAAATAATATTTTAATCAATGAGTTTTCTTTCCTTGTAGCCAGATTGTGAATGTGATTTGAGGAGTACAACAAATCGATATATAGCTGACTTGCTTTTTTCATTGTAGTTTTTTTTCTTTTTTTTTATAATAAATTTAAAGATATTCTAAAATATAGCAAAAATTAATTTTTTTAATACAATTAGAAATTTTACTAAATATAGACTCTCAATCTATGGTGTTAATCAACGTTTAAGTCTAAAAAATTAAGAATTTTTACCTCTTTTAATCAACGTTTAAGTCTAAAAAACAATAGAGTTATTATAAGTTTTTTTCTACATCTTTTAAAACATTAAATATGAGCATGTTAGGGCTAGCTTGTAAAATAATTAATATATTATCTCACTAAAACATTTATACTAATAAAAATTTAATTTTAGCATATAAATTTATCCCTTGATATAAGAGAAAGTAACAGTTTTACTTATTGTTGTTCACCATATAATATTTAATTATTATTTTATTATATAATAAAAAAGGAATATTGTTAAATAGTGTAGTAGAATTGTTATAAAATTATATGATTTTTTTTTTTACAATATGGATTTAATATTTTTTTATGATTTGATAATATAAACAAATCTATACTTAACTTTGACAAATAAAACAAATAAATACTTTAGTAAGTATTTAATGTATATACTAAATAGGAATATATTTGGTATAAACAAATACCAAATATAATCAAATAAGTCAAAGTGTACATTTTTATTTGGTACTTGATTTTTTTATTATTAAAATCTTTTTATTATACTTACCTTTTTAAAGTAAAACAAATAAATAAATTAATTAAATAAATAAAATATTATAATACCAATATAGTAACGACATTTAATTCAGTTGACTTTTCTGGATAGTAAATGTAGTAATAGAATCTCCTTTTATATAAGTATAGATATGATATTATATTATGTTATTCAAAATAGTAATGAATTTATTGCATTGACTTTTCAACTTACTAAATTTAGTAAATGGTACACCTTATTATATAAGTATAGATAGATGTACTATTTTGAGTAATTATTACTTTCCTTTTCTCCTACCAAAAAAATGGAATGCTCATGAGGAAAATAGTATATCCTTTTATGATTGCTAAAGAGGAGAAGCAAAATAACAATGAATCTTCTTTGAGCCATTGTCCCAAAGTTTTTTTTTGTTTATAAATCATACTAGTACAATACCAATTGTTAAAAAATTCAACTTAAATTTAAAAATTAATAATACAATATTCGTGTATTATACGTGTGTTTGTTAAAAAATGTATCCATAAATTTAAAAATTAATACAGAAATTATGTTTTAAAATTAAAACATTTTTTTAAAAATATATTATTAGAATTTATATTTAAAATGACATTATCACATCACATATACTACTCAATCATCTTACATTATAATATTTTGTAGTTAAATTTATTTAATTTATAAATAATTTTATTTTTTCCAACTAAAATTTATAGATGATTTAATTTTTATTTGTAAATATAGTTATAATTATTTATTTACTTTATCATACAATATAAATGTCAAATCAAAGCTAGTAAAGATATGATTGATTTGATATATTATATATAAAAAATAATAATAAATATAAAAATTAACTTTTAAAATATATTTAAAATTTATGATGGTGATTAAAATATATCCTGGTTATTATCTTGTCCCCCATATTCCATATTAATTATTTTAATTAATTAAAAGGTCTATCTATAAATTTATGATGGTGATTAAAATATTATTTTAATTTTTTAATGAAATAATTGTTTTGGACTGGGATATTAATAAATTGCTCCACCGAGTTAGGATCATATGAGAAAGGAGGATAGTGACAAAAATAAGAATGAATGTAAGCCTCTAGATCTAGCAAATCAGTGGTTATGATCAAATCAAACATTAATAATGCAGTCAAACATATAATAGAAATAAGATATATAAGTTAACATATTGTGGTCAATGTAGTAGTAATTTTTACCGGAGTTAAATCGAAAAATTCGAACACCGGGTGATGGAGACGAGACCGCGTTGGCGTTTCTGAATAAGTATGACCGTTTGCGTATTTAGCTGACTGTTGGCTCAATTTAATTGTCGTGGGATTTTATTTCAATCATTATTAGTAGTATTTAATGGGATATTATTATTAGTCTACTTATTAAATAAATGTAGGATTTAGGGTAAGTTGAAGAGGGTGGGACTCTTCTTTTGTATTTATGCATATGAGCAGTGAAATAAAAATCAGTCATCGTTGAAATTAAGAAGAGATATCTGTGTTCTTGTGTTCTTATTTCCCGTTTGAACATACGCTCTACATCAGTTGGTATCCAGAGACCAGCTACGATCCACGATGCCGCCCAAGAGAGATAACGCCGTCGACGATCGTCTCCAGCGAATGGAAGAGCGATTCCAAGGGATGGACGAACGATTTACGGATCTTTCAACGGGGGTCGAGGAGATTCGACTGGCTATGCGAACCATGATGGAGGAGGTACGTACGAACCGCGAAGGGGCTGACCGGGGCCATCGTGGAGGGATGCGCGGCGGTCGTGGAGGTCGGGGTTATGGCGGGGCGCCCCGCCGTCGATCACCACAGCCACCGCCGACCGGGGAGGATTCCGACGAAACCCTAACAGGCGACAATCCTTTTGCTACTGACGACCGCTGGCGGGGCAGAGAGGAGCGGCTGCGCGCGCAGAGGGGCTTCGACGACCGTGAGGTGGACCTAGGGTTTACCGGCGGTGAGGGCGGACGCCGTGCGAGGGTGGATAGGCGATTTGGTACCGATTGGGATGACGAGCAGTGGCAGCGCGACGAGTTTGTCAACGGCGAGGGTACAGGCCGTCGCGACGGGCGGCGATACGGGGACGGTGGCGAGTTCCCGAGGTACGGTCCGTTTTCAGACGACGAGGAAGATGGCAGGAATGACGGTGGCCAGTGGCGGCGTGAGGGTCGTCGTTGGGCTGCCGATGACGACAGGCTGCGTCCTGGAGGTTTCGGTGACCGGCGCGGGGGCATGCGTCCGATAGGAGGGGGCGATGCATCGCGTTGGGAGTCGGGCTTTCGGGTCGACATTCCCGAGTTTCATGGCGGTGTACAGGCGGATGATTTTTTGGATTGGTGGGCAGCTGTGGAGGCCGTGTTTAGGTTCAGAGAGGTGCCGGATGACAAGCGTGTCGCTCTCGTCGCCACTCGATTTCGAGGACGTGCAGCGGCATGGTGGATGCAACTTACGAGCTTGCGGCATCGTCAGGGGAAGGCTCAAATTTCATCGTGGATGAAATTTCGTGAGTATGTGGAGCGTGAGTTCTTACCACACAACTATGATAGCCTCGTTTACCAGCAATTACATAATTTGAAACAGGGCGTACGTTCCGTAGATGAGTACACGGAAGAGTTCTATCGCCTTTTGACTCGTGTTGAGCTTCGGGAGACTACAAATCAATTGGTCGCTCGATATGTTGGCGGGCTTCGGGTGTCAATCCAAGATATGTTGAACCTTTTTCGGGCAGAGTCGGTTTCCGATGCTCATCAACGGGCCCGTCTTGTGGAGCAGCAGTCGAACCGAAGGAATGGGGCACCTTTTTCGTCGGGCCCGCGGTCAGGCCAACCGAGTGGGAGCGGAATGCAGCCCGGTCGTGCTACACAAGTGACGGGCAACGGCGCGGGACAACTTACCGCGGCTGGGCGAAATTCGGTAGCTGGCGGCAGTCAGCCGCGGTTGCCGGGCACGGTGGGAATTCCGACGGCTACACCGGGACAGCGCACGGGGA